GGGAGGTTACTTATGAGGTCCATAATCCCTTGCAGCTCGTGTGCTAAAATTATAAAGACAGGACTGCCATAAATATAAAGGGAAGGGTAACAACCTTTATGTATGCAGTAACATAAAATCCCTCCTGGCCAGAGGTACAGAGTCACTTACCTGTAAGGGGTTAATCAGTTCAATTAACCTAGTTGGCACCTGACCAGAAGGACCAATGGGGAAAGAAGATACTTTCAAATCTGGGTGGGGGAAGGTTTTGTTTGAGCTTTCTTTGTTTTGTTCCCTCTTGGGCCAAAGAGAGAGGCCAAGCAGGTAAGCCAGCTCCTAAAATGATACATCTAAAATTTCAGAAATTGTAAGTAATAGCAAGGAAATGTGTTAGATTATCTTTTGTTTTAGCTTGTGAATTTTCCCTATGCCAAGAGGGAAGTTTATTCGTGTTTTTGTAACTTTGAGGTTCAGCCTAGAGGGGAATCCTCTGTGTTTTAAATCTTTTTATTACCCTGTAAAATTACCTTCCATCCTGATTTTACAGAGGTGCTTCTTTTACTTTTTTCTTTATAAAAAGTTCTTTTAAGAACCTGATTGATTTTAGTGTCCTAAAGATAAAAGGTCTGGTCTGTACTTTTATTAAAGGCAATTGGTTGGTATATTATTCTCAAGCCTCCCCAGGAAAGGGGGTGAAGAGGCTTGGGGGAATATTTTGGGGAAATAGGAACTCCAAGTGGTCCTTTTCCTGAATCTTTGGCTAAATCACTTGGTGCACTTGGCAGCAATACCGTCGAAGCACAAGGAAAGGATTTGTGCCTTGGGGAAGTTTTAACCTAAGCTGCTAGAAATAAGCTTAGGGGGTCTTTCACATGGGTCCCCACATCTGTACCCCAGAGTTCAGAGTGGGGAGGGAACCCTGACAAGGACAAAACAGGGCTCTGAACAGTACTCACAAGTTATGATGAGCACACTCCTGGCATAGCTGCTCTGTCATTAACATAACAGTAAAAGAAACCAACCAGACAGAAGGCACCAAGGAAATCTCCCATCCAGAAAAAGGAGAGAAGGCTAGGGTTAATAGGAATTGGTCATCTAACCCACTTAGGCCCTTTAAGAAACACAGGCCACAAAATCACTTTAATGTACAAGCACATTAATTTGTTTAAATATAGATTTAAGAATCATGCATCCTGGAATTTCAAACAATATCCAAACCAACACAGAGGTATCTGCTTCCTTGCAGAAATGATATTGATGTCATACATTGCAATGTGTGACCAGGGGACCTTCTGATGCCAAATGGCAGAGGGCATACGGGGTGCATAAGGATCCCCTGGGTCTGGTATTTATATTCTCATTCACCAGACTGTGTAATGAAAGCTGGCACCACTTTGGTGCTCTTAATCATTGAAAGAGGTCTCCTGCTTCTCTTCTCAGGCCATTATGCAAGTAAGACTTTGGATCAAGCTATAGCACCTTGTTCCTTACCAGGCATGAATAACGAGAGATGTAGGTAAACAAGGAAAGTAGGGTTAGGCCCCCAGGACTTTACTGCTTGTAGTGATGAGCTGCTTATTGCTTCTGAGTTACCAGAGCACCTCATGTTAAGCCAACCGTTAACTGTTTAGGATACCTGGGGACTTTCCATATGGCCATGGTGTTCCACCTCGGTATTATCAAAAAGAAGACTGAGAGGTGACTTGATTATAGTGTATAAAATACCTTCATCAGGAGAAAGTGCCTGGTACTCAAGGGCACTTTTAATCTATCAGGACCAGAACTAATGTCTGGAAGCTGAAGCCAGACCAATGTAAATTAGAAATAGGGCACAAATGTTCCACCGTGAGGGTCTGAAGGGGTACGTTGGCCCCACACTGGCCGGAAAGAGGTTAATGATGGTCTGTGCTCTCAATCAGCCCTACCCTATTACATTAATGAGAGGTATCAAAGCCTGGAGGGAGGAATTAAAAGAGGAAAATCCCAATACAGTAAGGGCTGAGGAGGAGAAGGAATGGACCTCCAGTGCTAACACCTTGAAGGAAGGCCTGGCTGGGGCCAGAAAAATCCTATAGATTGCATGGAGGAAGACTGGTCTGGGGCTAGGGGCTGTATTGAAACTTCTAGATGCCAGAGCCTCCCTGGGGCAGATAGGCCCAGCATGGGACATTTATATTTGTTTTGTTCACCATAACCTATCCTCTTTCCTTCTGGGAACTGTGGAGGAGTGAGCCTGAGAAGGGGTTGTAAGGAAGGCCAAAGGACAGGCCAAGGTAGGAATTAGCTCTTTGAGGAAGCAGTAGGTCTTAATAGACAGACCTGAAATGCTTTATACATGGTCCCTGGGGTGGAACCCATAGAGCAGGCCTGGGTTCTCCTACCAGCCCACCGAGGACGATAGCAAGAAGACACCTAGAGACAAGAGCTGGAAGGCATAGACTTAGTTTGACTTCTATATCTGGGGGTGGGGGGGGGGCACAGCTCCAGTCAGGCCAATGCGGTCATGTTTGTGTGTGAAATTCTGCACATGCCTGAGTTCTCCAGTTTGGAGGGTCAACACCCTCCTTCCCCCACCCCCAACTACACCCATGCTGGAAGGCCAATAAAGCCCAAAGTGAGGGTGAAGAACAGGCATTCATCTGCTGAACTGATGTTGAACTGGACTCGGTTTACTCCAGAAAGGGTGGCAATTGATGCAACCCAGATGGAGGGCCGAGTCACACAAAATAGACCACAGCATGGCTGGAGTGACAGTCAGGAGCGGGCCTCAGAAAAGAAGACCCTTCCAGGCCATTCCCAGCCATGAGGAAGCATGCCAGCCAGGGAGTCACTCCTCTAGAGAAGATGATTAACCATTGGAACAAGCTACCAAGGGAAGTGATGGATTCTCCATCTCTTGATGTTTTCAACTCAAGTCTGGATGATTTTCTGAAAGATGGTTTAACAAAAAACACAAGTTACTGGGTTCAATACAGGGGGAATTTCATGAAATATAATGTCCTGTTATATACAGTATATCAAAGTAGATGATGCAGTGATGATCTGTGAACCTATGAACCTTCTTCTAAAGCGGTTGTTACTCGCCACTTTAGAGCCAGGAGACTGAACAAGGTGGATGACTGCCCTCCTCTACAGTGGTAAATCCCATTTTCCTTAGAAGTGGTAAAAAGAAACATCTCCTTTGATGATAGACATTTTCCTGTCTCTATAACTTTCTCATTGAGGTTAGGAGTTCACCTATTAAACTCGTTAATAAGTTCTAAAAATAAATGTATTATTAACTCATTGAAAATTCCCATTAGTAGAAGTTTCCAGGGAGATATTTCTCTCTCAGATAATGAATGAGAGGAGGCATTCACTTTCTGGTATCAGATAAAAGTCAGCTGTGTAAGTCAGGAAAATAGAGCTCAGAGTCCTCCTCAGCATTCTCAGGTCTCATTACAGAGATCCATGAAGAAGATGGTGACAGGACATAGACTCTAGATCCTGTATCCTGGTCTCTGAAAGGCTGCATGAAGAAGTCACATCAGCGATTCTAGCTTTTGTTACACCTGTTTTGGAGGAAGCACAACCTTTCTCATCAGATTCACGGAAGGTAAAGGATGATGTATATTGTCATGCCCGATCCCTTCTGTCCAGTACATATTTTTCCTGTACACAATAGGACGTGCTAGGATTTGGTGAAAGTTTTCCATCAAAACTCTTCATGTTGGGAAACTGGGTTTTCATCTAAAGAAAAATGTTCATAGAAAGTTTCTGCTTTCCTTCAAAAATTTTCATTGAAAATTCAGAAACCTAAAATCCAACAATTTTTCCTTTTTTTCTCTGAAAAAATGAAATGTTGGCTTTAAATTTGGGAGTTTATAGATGCTTTTGCTTTTGGGATTTTTTTTTTAAATTAAAAGTCAAATCTATCCAGGGTGGAAAAATAAGATCCTGAATAACTCTAGAACCTACTGTCCTGAATGATGGGTAACAGAGATAATGTCTTTCTGTCAGACACACCCAGACTGGATAAGTTTAGATGTATGTAGAACACCCTGGGTTTTTAAGAGTCAGGCCTAGCCAGAGCTCAGATGGCAATAATTTGTGATGGTTTATTAAAATTTGAGCCGCTCTACTCGTGCACTGAATATAAAGTATCGTTCAGTATTGATGTTGGTTAAAGCCCAGCAGCAAAAATAAGCGTATTCTTAGGGTAATGTAGTTAATGCATCTTGGTAACGAATTTAACATAGTGGGAGATACAAACCTTGGACTACAAAATCTTAAATGAGGTATCTATCTAGCTGACTGCCCATCTGTTGCTAACTATCCTACCCTCCACAATCTTTCTTTCTTTCTTTCTTTCTTTCTTTCTTTCTTTCTTTCTTTCTTTCTTTCTTTC